AAGAGCTTGCTGTGTGGCAGTCTCAATTGGTTCAACAAGAGCCTTCCATCTGGAGTCATCGCCTAATCCACTGGAGAAAGAGTCCATCATTTCCAGGTCCTTTTCCCACATAACCAGGGGAAAGGCAGGCAGGCAGGCAGGCAGGCAGGAGGGAAAGAAAGAAGGAAGGAAGGAAGGAGAGAAGGAAGGAAAAAAGTTGTTTTCCTTCTTTGTCACTGCTATAATCAACACTCATCTGTGTAGGCCAATGTGCTTTCTGCAGGATATTCATGATCTGGGGAGATGTCCTACGGGGCATGACCTTCTGACTGGCAAGACGAGAGTTAGTCTTGCCGGCATTCCAGGTCACTTCCTCCTCATAACAACCATGACACTTCTGCAGCTAAACTGAGACTGGAGACGGGTTTATCCTGTGCTGTCTTCTCAGCTGAACTCCACGCATGTTGGAGAAGGACATGCAGCAGTGGTCAGCGAGGATGAGGAGGGTTCATGTCACTGTAACTGATCTTGCTATGAGGCATCCATTGGAAGTGGGAGATCTCCGCTCTGTGCTCAGCAAATCCAGAGAGCGTTTTGTCATTGCTGCTACAGTGCTGTTTGTGCAGGTGTCTATTCCCACTGCGACATCTTGCATGGGCTGCAGAGACAGTAGGTCATTTGGCAATGGCTGTGGACCTTGCTGAGATTACATCTTTCACATGGAAGCATACAGATGTGTCTCCCAGACAGACCTTCACTTGAAGTGGAAAGGCAATGCCTTCTGTAAATATTCTCCATGTGTTGTGGTTAAAAGTGGTTGCATATTTGCAGTATAAGTCTTTGGAACCAGATGTCACATCTGCAAAGAACTCAATCCCTCAACGTCCTGAAGAGACCGCCAGCTGCTGCTGCTGCTGTTCCTTGACTCCCTACTTGGTTACAGCTTCATTAGGATATATTTTGCCTCCATTGGCCTTGTTTCCATCCTAGATTTTTCTAGCATCAAAAAGACAATAATGTCTCCTGACTGATGTGATAAAAGAGCTCTGTTTAGTTAGGATAACTTAGTCGTATCTTTACCACCTCAGTAAAAGGTCTGGACTAACTGGGAGTTGCTAGTACAGTAACTATTAGGGATCTTTGCTCTATTCATGAGTAGAAAGTCACAGCCAAGACAGGAATGTTCTTTGCCAGGTCTTTTTTTTTTTTCCTGGATGCACATGTTTTGTTTTGATTGCCTATGTTTTAGCTGTGGAATGTATTGGTGGTACATCTCTAGCAAGAAAAACAGTATAATTTGATATTTCAGATGACTTAAACTCCTCTAACCCAACATAAATAAAGCTAAAGTTGTCTGCATAATTTTGCTCACCATCTAAACCTTGAAAATTATTAGTCATGCCCTTTTCTAGCTTATTCTGCAAGGGTTAAAAGCTTTCAGTCAGATTAGTGAAATTGTGATGTAATTATGAAAAGTTCCATGTAAATTTATGGAGGCTGTTGAAATGAAAGGAACACTTCCGTGAACAAGAATATCGCTGATTGTGCCAGATTAGTTGGTTAAACCAAGGTGATTGTAGCCAGTGACAGTAATTCTGTCTCCTCAGCATGCCTAACATCCAATCCCCTGCTAGTGTCATGGTGCAGCTCTTGCAGAACCAAGAGCAAGTGAAGACAGCCAGCGAGCTAGCCAAATTGTCAAAGGTTTCCCAATGTTACAAAGGTTTCTGGATAGGGAAGACCACTAGATAAGTTCAGGATTGGGCGTAGTGGAGGCATGTTGTAAGAGAAACAACATTAGGGAGGAATGTTGGATTGGATGAATGAGCGTTTAGCTGAAAGGAGTAAGAGGTAGCTTTTGTTGTTTAATTTGTGATTTATTACTTTTTTTTTTTTTTGAGCCCTTCTGGTTACTGTGTGGGCTACAAAGCCCAGGGCTTTCTGAACATAATTATTCTGTCGCTCCTGGTGTTTGACAATCAGATCACCCGATCCATTAGGTACCTTTTCCTCCTGCTCCTATGAGGACTTCAACCATCAAAATTGGATTCACAGTGTGACTCTACTATTAAATTAGTATATTACTATGGTGACTTAATCTTTCCTGATAAGAGTTTTTGTGTTGGCATAATTAGGAAAACTTCTGCTATTATTCTCTGGCAATCTAATAACCACCTCTCAAATCTACATGGAAACTCTCAAAAATGTCATGATTCCACCACCCTGAGAGTGTTTAATCCCTTTAGAAAGCAGCATAACTGTTAATTTTCTGGTTCATCATTTGATCAAAGTTATCTAGAAAATCTTTGCTCCATTTCTTCTAAAAGAAAAGGCAGTTTGAAATATCAGACAGGTAGTCTCCACAGATACAATATCAGCATGCCACTCAGCCAAGAACTGGATAATCAAAAGCCTTTTCTATTGTCTCTTCCCTGTCATGAAATTCAGTGAAGGGCACTGTTTCAAGAGACAGTTTCAGAAATGCTGTGGGTTTTCCCCCTCCCTCTCCTCTTACTCTCGAAAGGAAAGCTTATTGGTTATAATGATGGCTTAAACAACCAGTTCTGAAAATTAAAGCAGAAAGCTAAGTCATCAAGCTCAAAAATTGTATAATAGCATCAATAGGTGCCTCTTGAGCAGTAGGATTTTGCTGGCTTGATGCCAAGTGGAGCTTTGTCACATCTACTAAGGCATCAAGACTTCAGGCATGGGTTGGTGTGCCCAGAGAGATATGCAGAGGGGAACCTCCTGAAGTTCAACAAAGGCAAGTGTAGTGTCCTGCATCTAGGGAGGAAGAATCCCATGCACCAGTCCAGGCTGGGGGCTGACCTGCTGGAAAGCAGCTCTGCAGAGAAGGACCTGGGCGTGCTGGTGGACAACAAGTGAAGCATGAGGCAGCAATGTGCCCTGGTGGCCAAGAAGGCCAATGGGATTCCAGCGTGCATGAGGCAGAGCGTTGCCAGCAGGTGGAGGGAGGTGATCCTGCCCCTCTACTCGGCCCTGATGTGGCCTCACCTGGAGTAGAGAGTCCAGTTCTGGGTTCCCCAGGACAAGCAAGACATGGAGCTCCTGGAGCGAGTCCAGCGGAGGGCTACTAAGATGATGAGGGGACTGGAGCATCTCGCATATGAGGGAAGGCTGAGGGAGCTGGGATTGATTGGGATCTTATCAATGTTATGTATAAGTATCTGAAGGGAGAGTGTCAAGAGGATGGGACCAGACTCTTGTCAGTGGTGCCCAGTGACAGGACAAGAGGCAACGGGCATAAACTGAAACCCAGGATGTTCCATCTGAACATGAGGACAAACTTCTTTCCTGTGAGGGTGACAAAGTACTGGAACAGGTTGCCCAGAGAGGCTGTAGAATCTCCTTCCTTGGAGATACTCAAAAGCTATCTGGACAGGGTCCTGGGCAACCTGCACTAGGTGACTCTGCTTGAGCAGGGGGATTGGACGGACTAGAGGCTCCTTCCAACCTTAGCCCCTCCGTGATTCTGTGAATCCATACCCAGTAGGACAAGCTTCTACACCATAACACAAAAATCTTCCTTTCAGTGAGGTTCTGCACAGCATTTCTCCTACCCTCAGCAAAGGACATACAAGCCTGGAAGTTTTATTCTAGAAGATTGTCAGCCACCTTGTCTCAGGCTGGAAGTGTTACCAAGGTGATTTAGAAAGCTTTGCAGGATCCTGCTTGCACCAGCCTGTAGCACCAAAGCCTGGAATAAGGGCCTCACTTCCTGTCACCATAGTGTGAATCAATATAACTGATATAATGTAACTGAGGCCATAGCCTCACTTCCTGTTACCTCCCTGACTGCAGGGAGGAAGCCACCACAGAGCAGGCTGTCTTCCATCCCCTCTATGCTGGAGAATTGTTATTCACTCAGCGATGGGAGAATGGTCCGTTATGGACCGTTCCTGGTAATTACCATGAAACAAATTTTTGCTGATCAAGGTTGCTGCAGCTTGACCATGGGGCATCCAAGAATCCTGACTAGGCAGGCTATTGTGTCTACACACTATAAACATGGCAACAACCCATTAGCACTGGAGCAATTCATATTTTTTTTTCTCTTTAGGTCTTTGCTACCGCGATTCCTTATGCTTAGGTTTCTGCCGCATTTGTGATCATGTCCCCAGTGAGTAAAGTCTGGTTGACATCCTTCCGGCCACTGCAGTAGTGATCTACCAGAAGGCTAATGTTTGATTGGGAGATGCAGAGCATACAGCGTTTACACCTTCTTTTGCATTAGATGTGTGACGTTATGTTTCAGAATCTCCAGCCTGCCTGCATTCACCCCAGTTCACATAGACATAGACTCGTTTTCTCTCGTTCATGAAAGTTAAAGAACTTATAAAAAAATGGGTCCTTTTCAGGTCCCTGCAGAGTTTTCCAAACACTGGGCTGAGGGTAGCTCCTCCCAGCAGTCATACTGGCAGGGCAGCTACTGTCCCAACCTGCAGCTTCCAGAGATAACGCCCTGCTTCTGAGCTGTGCTGTCACATCACTGCTGTTCGATTTTGGTGAAGACATAGGGGTTTGGGTCTCTCAGCCCGCCCTGGGGCGCTGTTAAAACAGGGGGTTCATTCCCCGGTGCTCTTTTCAGCAGGGCAGGGAGGGGGGTGTGTCATGGTCACAGTCCCAAGTCTAAAGTCCTCCTGAAAGATGCCACTGGCTGGTGCAGACACTTCAGGAGAGGAAGCTGACTCCTCTGTGGGGCCACACTAGAGCAGAATGGGTGTGCAACTCCTGCCAAAAAGGGTACAAACGCCCAGAGCTGTACCCATCTAAAGAGCCCTCCATGGTACAGACCCCAGGGTGAGGCTATCATAAATAAGGGACATGAAGGCTTCCACTGTGAGTACTGGAAGAAGACTGGCGTCTTAGTGGAGGAAATGCCATGGAGTGACTGGGGAGAGTTTTATGCACAGATGATCACAGCCTTGCCCTGTGGCAGAGAAGAAATAATGATATCATTAACCAGCACCTTTACATTTCTCTCTCCCTTGCTATTCCAGAGTGATTACTCAAGTGACACTGAGAGCGAAGACAATTTCCTGATGATGCCGCCAAGAGATCATCTCGGCCTCACTGTGTTCTCCATGCTCTGCTGCTTCTGGCCACTGGGAATTGCTGCCTTTTACCTGTCTCATGAGGTAACAAAAAAATGTCTCCTGCTAATTCAGAGCTTTGCATCCAAGCGGTGGCTATGACTCCACAACAGCAGGGAAGGCTCACTGAGACCCAAACCAAGACCCAAACCTGGAGGAGACACTCTCTCAGGGGGGTAGGAGGCAGCTAAGCAGGGTGACCCTCTGTGTGATTCTGTCTCCCTCTTGATATATCGTTTCCATGATAACGGTGCTTGTCTTGTGAGATATTTTACTGAGGGAGGAAGCTATAAAATATTTTAGGTTTTAACCGGCAATGGTCAGGTTCCGTGTCACTTTATATAATGTCCAGCCAGGGATTTTCTGTGAGCATGATTTTCTAGTGGAAAACACCTTACTCTATTAAATGTTCACATTTCCCTTTGGGAAAAACTAATCTGTTAGTTCCCGAGCTGATCATCTGGAAAAGCAAACCAGTTAATATCCTTCCAGGAGCAGAAAAATTATTTCTGTTCTGCAGAAGTGGATTTGTTTTCTAAGAAAACTTTTCCCCATGAAAAAGTGCTCAGTTCGTTCCTCTTGTCCAATTTTTAATATGGAAATATTTTTTACCACAGAAGTGATAGTGCTTTGGTTTGTTTCCTTCCTAAGAAGAGCTTGCTGGTTTCCAGCCTCTGCCTAACAACCACCTAATGTCCCATCATTTGTTTTGACAAGTATGTCTTCATAAGTGCCTGCAGAGTAATTACTGAGTTTCCTTCTCAGCATGCCAGATAATGTAACATGACAGAAAAGGAGTCTCATCTGATAGTCTCATCAGTGACTGCAAGGAAATGTTCACTTATATTTCTATTTACTGATAGTGGCAGTGCCTATTGGAAACTACAGTCTGTATACCACAGCACCAAAATCATTAACTTTCTAACAGGCCTTTCTAATCTGCCTGCTCTAAACATTTGCCAGCACCGCGTGTTTGTCAAGCCAGATGAGGCACTTTGGATCAGAGGAGTGCTAGTCTTTAATATCAAAGAAAAAGGTACAGCACTACCATTTTACCGTAAATGAAGTGTCTATCGTTGAACTTCCAAGCCTCTGAGACAAAGTTTGTCCAGTGGAAGATAACAAATTTCCTTGTCTGAGTGCTGTTTGTTTCTCAAGTTTGGGGCAAGGGATTTGCCTGATAACGATGACAGTAAAAAGTAAAGAATCAGGTGGAAACCACGTGCGCTTTGGTATTCTGCAGTTTGGTGCTTGAGGCAGAGCTATTCATCAGCAACTTTAATGGCCATGCCTTTTCGCACACATGGGCTAGGCAGGGTTTTATTAACTGATGCTGCAGCTAAAGAAGAGTTCTGAGCCTGGCACTACTAACACAATGCTTGCGTTTGCTCTATGTTGGGGAAAATAGTGCATTCATTCATTTCCTGCGGTAGTGTTCCTTCAGGAGGGCTGGAGATTGCTAGCTAGTTTTATCTAGATGGTAAAAACACATAAATGGAAAATAAACAACATAATAAAGTACTAAAGATCATCATAGATGAGAAGCCAAATGTGCTGAGAGCCAGTATGTCGGCTAAGCTAAGGAAAGGACATTCATAATAGCTGTGAACTGATCCCAGTGGCCTACATGATTCTGGAAGACCGTACTACCTTGGTAGCAGCATAATCAAGGTGGTAAAGGTCAAACAAAGACCCGGAAATATCATCATATTGTGCCGAAGTTTTTAGGCATTGAAAAAAATGGAAATCTACAGGTTGGATTGGTTTAGCATAATGATGGGGAACTGCTGAATGTGGCTGCTTAAAACTAGAAGCCTTCAGCAAGAAAGGTCAGGCAGGTGCTTTGCTTCTATTAGTTTGAGAGATAGTAAATAAATCTTTGTTAAATGAGCCCTTGCATTCACCAAGGCAAGCTTTGACTAGATCCAGTGAGGAAGAAGGACTGCCTTTTTGAGGAACTTTGACCTCTATTTCTGTTTTTGCATTGGAAGTAGAAATCTTTCCACTTCTCCCCACCAAAAAAACACTCACCACCACCGTCATCCCACCCCTACATGCTCCTTTCCTCCCTTTGACATTCTCTTCGCCCTATACCTGCAATGGGTCAGTAGGCTGAGAAGTCATTTCCCAAATCTTGCACAGAAAGATGGTCAAATCCTTACTCAGCCTGGTCCAGCGCAGGTATATTAGTCTGTCTACTCCCCAAGTTTCCAGGCAGATATCTTTGCTGTATGTCTTCCCCTCTGGCAGGCCAGTCACGCCCTTGAGAAACCATGAGGTGTCACTGAAAGAGGTACTTCTGCAAAGCCTCACCTTCAACAAATTGACATTTTCCAGTGGAAGATCATTTCAGTGGAAGAGGCTAGTCAGCTCAAATTAAGACCAAAACCTTATATTGTTGAGAAATCCCTAAAATAGCTGGTATAAATAAACAAAGTTCTGTACCTAGCTAGGCTAATACTAACAGTTATATTGATTCACACTTTGGACCATAAACTTGACAGGTTTTTTATAGGGTTACGAAGAAATAGTCTCTGGGAAATATAATTGCATAATTAACCGTTATGGAGGTCAGGTAGACCTGAAAGAGGACAGTCTGCCTTTGTAGTATTTGATGTTGGCCTCTCACAAACGGAGTGTCAGAATCGGTTCAATTCTTGGAATTTCCTATGTCTTGGCAATGACTGTGCTGTATCAAAATTTTAATAGACCTTTCTAAAACTGTCAGGCATAATGATGGATTAAGACAGTTCTTACCATCTGATTTCCTCTTTTAGAAAACAAGGTGAGAGACTTCATGAAACGAGGTAGCATTCAGAGTGATCTTTTATATGTGAAGTAGTAAAATGTTATGCCCTATTAGCGTGTGATTTCTATTTATATAGATCTTTTAACTTGAATTTTTGAATAATATTTGAGATCCCCTGTTAATACAAAAGCGTAGTCTAACATTCCCTATCCTTTGTCAAAAGTCAGAGCTATAACTGAAGATCAAAGCTTGGCACTTGCATTCAAACCTTTTTTGCTGTTGCTTGAGCTCTGTTAAGTTTTTAGTTTTCAAGGCATCTCTGGGGTAGTTCTACAAAAGAAGTCCAATTTGGGAAAAATTTCAACACATAGGAATTGCAAAGGCAACAGTGCTGGCTGGATTCTTCTTGCCAGAATTTAAGAATTTGTGGCAAACTCTTCAAAAACCTGGTCTCCTTTAGGAGGACAATGCATTTACAAACCGAGGCCTGATTTGCAGGAGATATATTTGCGTGCACATCAATCCAAAGGCGCAGGTGTTCTCAGTTCAAAGCTCGCAGCACCTGGCGATACACTTCTGTTGCATATGTCTGTGTCACGGTGCAAAAGAACTGCACAAGGACTGATGTCGTAAGGTTTCACAGATGCTCTTTATGAACCGAAAGATTAATTTTCCCTGTACTCCAAAAAAGCAATGTGCTTCCTGCAGGGGCTACTTCTGCTCTGCGTGGGACTTAGTGTTTCCACCAAGGCTCTCGCTGATGTACTGCTGACTTAAGGCTTTGTGGAGCCCATCTGTATTGAACAACGCAGCTGTGCAGGGTCTGCCTGTGCAGAGTAGACTTTACTTTGTATCTGCTCTCCTGTGGGATGGGGATGGTCCTCTGGAGCCCTCCACCCCTGCTGAGTCCTCACCACAGAGTCTGAGAGATGCCAGCTGGGCCAAAACAGAAACAGCCATATGTAACACTTCCTCCGTCCAGCTTCCATATAATCTCCCCAGAGTTGTGTCAGACTAGCAGGAGGTCCTTCCTAACCTGCAGACTGTGTAACTTTTTTGTCATCCCCTAAATCCTTCCTGCTTAACCTCACTGCCTGTGGCAATGTAAATTTTCGCAGGCTGCTCCCTCTTTGCCTTTTTTGCAAGCAGCGGAAGCCAGATTTCCACTGGCTTTCTGAGACTGAGAAATGCTAAGACAGGTCTAGAGGGTTTTTCAAAAGGCATAGACCAACACTTGAAAATTCTACTGGACACTTCTCTGCATGCTTAGGTGCTTAAATAGCTTTCCAAATCCAGTTCCACTTTCCTCTCCGGCAGAACGTGAAATCTTTCAGGCGGCAGACTGCATCCAGAATGCACGAGAGCAATCACTTCCCGTCTGCTGCACTTACTCCGTGTGGCAATTACTTCCCTCACGCAGTGACTGAGGGGTACGCTGCTCTGTAATTATTTCCACCACCCATGCATTGCTCAAGTGGGCAAAGCTCCAAAAATCATTGCTTGGATCGTCTTTAAGGAAAAGTAGGGGTTGTGCAATGGGGGAAAGGAGTTTCTCCTGCTTTCTTATGGATGCAGGCATATATGATCAGGCAAAATAGTAGCTTGTCCTGATAACTTCTGAACTCCTTCATTACTTTCTACCAAATTTTCAGAGGCAGAAGCTTTGAAAAAACTGTATTTTGACCTGCTTCAGCAATCACCGGTTAGAATAGAGAGAAAATCTTTGTGTCCCCACCTGAAGAGGGAATACAGTATGACCTCAACCGTTATTAGAGACCAGAGGTTACAAGCTCAGGACACATGAATGCATTTCACTTTCTTTGATCTTCTGCTTCAAATCTTGACATCTAACCACTGCTGAAAATAACATGGAAATAACAGCCAGGTGTTATCTGTTGTTTATTCTTTAGAAATCTGGCTCATGGATCCCATTCCAAGTGTGAAAACCGAGACAGGGCAGTAGTGTGACTTGCCACACTCCACCAAACTAGTTGGTGGTGCTGGTAAGACTTGTGCGTGCTCTACTAGTCCATCCTGGCTTTTTATCCTCTCTGCCCTATGCTTCTGAGTCAGGAAACAGAGGATGGCCAGGAGGCTGGTATTCATGGCCATGAGACTATGTTTGTACCAGTGATGATTCATCCCCTTGTATCCGAGATGCAAAGGCACACACAAAGAGTAAAACTAACCTGACGTATTTTGCTTTACTTGTTATATGTGAGGTAACAGGCCAAGCTTTACTTGCAAGATATGCTAGTTAGCACAGCTAAAGCAATGAGAATAGCTGGTGAGCAGG